ATGCACATATACGTATCGTTCCGTTGGCCTTCTTGATAACGACTATAGGTGCTGCCCAACTGGAGTAAGAAACGGGAGTAATAACTCCTTGTCGTTGAAGGCGATCCAGCTCTTCATCTACTGTTGCTAATGTAGCATACGGTACAGGTCTCTTTGGACGAAAAGCAGGCTTAGCCCCATGTTTCAACCGAAGTGTTGCTTTCATAGCAGTGCACCGACCTAATCCAGGTTCAAAAATGGTTGAAAACTCTGTCATCAGCTTCTTCGTATACGCTTCTGGGTCATGTCGTTGTGATACCAGGTTGCATATGGTATTTAGCGGGACATCAGCCAATTTTAGCTGGTCGAACCAATCTAAACCAAGTAAATTTAGATCAGCTGGCGTTATATAGCATACCCCAGTAAACGACGAATCTCGGAAAGCAACTTTACATTCCAATTGTCCTAACAGACGAAGATAATTACCACACGCTGTGCGAGGCTTTTGTGTTGTGTGCTGCAGGCTTGGGCTGCCCAACTTGGTCCAATTTTTGCGTGAGAGGATAGTGACATCAGATGCAGTATCTATTTGCATTCTACACAAATAACCGTTAATATTAATAGTAATAAATTTCCTCTCACCTGGTGATGAACTTTGGCAGGAAGATATTAGGCTCAATGCATTGGTACTGGATCTAGGAACAGGCTTCTTAGCACTTCTGGATCGCTTTGGCTTTTTCTGTAGGCAAAAGCCATCTTTATGACCGATGACTTTACACTTCCTGCATCTATGCTGCCTAAATGGGCAGTTCCGTACATAGTGCCATGAACCGCAGTGCCAGCAAGCAGAAGGTGGATTCATTTTGGGTTTTTGGGCCGAATTGGAATTTCTCTTTTCACTAATGGAATGCACGTATGATGAGAGGCCCTTGTTTTCGACCATGGAGGTATCATGCTTCAAGTTTACTAATCTCTGGCACTCTGCAGTTATTTCTTGAAGCGAGATGTTTGGGCACTGTTCAATTTTACTTAGGATTCTGGTTCTTATATCAGCATCGTCGGGAGATTGTAAGCTGCACACAAACACAAGGCACTTAAACTGATCTTCCGTCATTGATGATAATTTAAATCGTTCGCATTCACGATTTACTAAGCCAGCATGCTTTACCCAGTCATCTTCATTTGACTTGATTATTTTGAGGCATTGATAACGAATATTAAAGAGAGATGACTGTTCAGAGAAGATTTGCGACAGCGTATCAATTGTAGCATCAAAAGAGAAATCTCGTGGGTTCTTTGGGAGGATGAAATTACTGTAACGTTCGTGTTCGATTGTGCCGAGCTTTCTCAAAAGGATTCTGACTTTGGTGGCGTCATCAAGATTGTTGAGGTCGACCTTGAACAAATCCTCATACTTCTTAAACCAAGACTCGAAAGTCACAGCAGCAAGGCCATCAAAATGAAATTCATGAATGGAATTAACTATCGAGTCTGTATGCGGATTATATGAATCATCGGCAAAACCTCTGTGATTCAAATTCATTTGTTTCATTAACAGCTCCAACATACGTTCCTGGAACTGTTCATATCGTCTACCTTGACGTTCCAGTAAAGATTCTAACTGTTCAAGATTAATTGACATTGTGAATTGTGAGCCCCGTCGCCACTGATATGTTTTGTGGATATGGTTTTTACCCCGTCGCCACTGATATGTTCGGCACTTAGTAGTATGCTTGATGCTATTACGAGTTTACCTTAGTCGATAAACGCGAACGATACTTTTACCAGCTTCCAGGAAGGCTACCTTGAATCCAAACGGTAAAACAGAAGTCTTGGCAAGCGTAGAAAGTATATTCTACAAGCACCCAGCAATCCAGTACAATCAAGCATACAACTCTCGTTTATTTATACAACATAACAACGTCCTTGAGACAGTTAAGAAAATAGCATACTAAAATACACTGTGGCCAATCACAGCCATTGATTTTCCTGGTGGGAGTTGAAATCTCAAGGTCATTTGATCAGCCCCTGCTGGCGAACGTGAAAACCGAAATACGGCATTATCAAGCGAATTTTGAGGATCTAACATCCCCAACAGTTACACCAACCGGCTTCTTGCTAGGACACGCATCAAGAGGCTTTACATCGTTACGGTCACATACTCGTCCTTCATCAGCGTATGCTTTCGTGATATAATTGACAAATCTCTTATCTTCCGAGCGTGCTTTAGGTAGAAACGAAAAATCCGAATGTCTCGCACGCAGACCACTAGTAGCTTCCGTATTATTTCCTGTTTTAGCCTGATAAGCTAATCTTCCAAACCTACTACTAGCTATCTTAGCACGAGACATAATAAATTCCGTCAATTCATTGAAACTAGGCTCTCTCTCCTCTTCGTCCCACTTGATTACTAGTTCTGCCCACTGGGCTTGCATTCGACGAGGTAAGAGACTGACTATTCGTTCTAAAGTATCCATGGAATTAAGTTCCGTTGTGCAATTGAGCTGTTCTAAAGTTAAAGCAGCATTCTGCATTTTAATAGCCAAGTTCGTCAATGATTCAGGATCATTAAATTCTACTTTCCCAGTTCTAAATAAGTCCTCTAAGGTTTCTCGAGCTATTACATGCGACTGTCCAAAGAGCTGTTTTAGAATGGCCTTAGCTCTCTTATATCCTGATTGTGGATCCATAATAATACAGCCTTCAATCGCATTTTTTGCTTTTCCCTTACAATAATGAATTAAATACAATAAACGCACTTGATCATCCTTTATTCGAGGTTCTATAAACGTCTCTATTTGTCGTATGAACCTAAAATAGTCGCGAGACCTTCCATCAAAAAATGAGAGTTCAACCTTAGGTAGTTCTAAACCCTCTATCGATGACTTACAATAATAAATATCAGACATAGCATGTGGGTTACCCATAAAAAAGTTATCATTAACGACTTGCCTAGAGCCCTGTGATCCGTCGAGCTCTTCCACCGTCCTCATGTGTGATTTTTTTCGGTTTGACATCATAAATAAAGTTCAGTAGAAAAGGTAACAGATACAAAATAGAGTAATTCCACAGTTCAGTGCAAAATTACGATGAATAATCCAACTTCTTCCTCCAAGGAAGTCTAGTGTGATAAACGATTAAAATTCCAAATGTTTCTTTATAATTCTTAATAATCCGAATAGTTCCAAAATATATACGTTCAGATGAATATTTCCAAAGTATAATCCACGAAAGAAGAAATTCCAGACTGTAGATTTTATTTCGACAGTGGCTGTCCCAATTGTTTCCAATAGAAACACTCCTGTACGCCTTTCCTAGTTCCGGGTCCCAACCAATGCAAAAAAGGACAAAATTCTAGGAGAAAACGTCTCTGTATTATTAGAAAATGGAAATACAAAGCCTTACGGAATTTGTGTTTCTTCCAGGGTTAAGTTACTCCGCAGAGTATCCAACACAATAGCCGATAAGTGACACTAAGTCCAGCAGCCACCGCGTCCGTCCAAAAATGTGGCGGTAGCCATATTATATCAAATTTAAACAATATATGCACAGTTCAGAAGCAAACACAAAAACTTCAATATAAGTACAAATATAGAAAGAATAACAATATACAATGATAAAATCTCAAATTGGAATCAAATAAAATACCAAAAGTGTCAAGAGAAAAGTCCATCATGTCATAGCAAAAATATGTAAACATGGAGGGATTTTCCAAAAAACAAAACATTCAAAAAGAATTCTACACATTCTTTTCAGAACGATGTGATTTCTGGACATCGCAGCTATCACATTACGAGCCCGGAGATCAGTTAGCTGGAATGCAACGAATAATTATTAAAAAATTTAGATGCTATTAAAAATCGGAACATTTCTAAACCACGTTGATAATTTTAGAAGTTAATTAGTTGGTAGTGAAGATTGTATGAGAGGAAAGAAGAGCAAGCAAAGAAGTGGAGACAAGTATAATAAACGAGATCTCACAAAATGACAGCAATAAAAACTATCACGTTTTTAGACATGCGTCAGGCACATATACTCCATTACTGAAATGATAAGTCGTATGTGAGTACGTTTTTATCAAGTCTCCTCTTACTGGTATCCAATGAGAAGGCTGTTGTCACATCAGCTTTGAGAGCATTCCACGTTTTAACAATCAGTAATGAGAAGAATTGAGAACGTACGCACGTACCGA